GCACAGCACAATTAAGAAACATATAAAAGGAAAGAAACATTAAATATTTGATAGGACTTTAGCATATGTACTATTAGTTTCACAAAGATACTGAATGAGCTCTTTCCAGAAATAAGACATGAATTTCCAGTTTTAGAAGGCCCAGAGACTGCCTAGTAAGAGATCTTTCAAAACAAAACAAAACTTTATCTAGACACCTTGCAGTCAAAGTGTAGAATATAAAAATAAACAGGAAATTCTAAAGGCCACCAGGGAGAAAAGATAGCTTATCTGCAAAGGTCCAATAATTGAATTGACAGTAAACTTCTCATCAGCAACAACAGATGCCAAAAGACAATGGAACTGCATCTCCAGAGTGCTGAGGACAAATAATTGTGAACCTGTAATTTCCTGTCCTGTGAAACTGTCATTTAAATCAAAGGGCAAAATAAAGACATTTGGATACATATGGGATCTTAGAAAGCTTCTGTCTCACACACCTTCACTGAAAGAGGCACAGGGACCTGGGGGGAGGAGCCAGATGCTCACAGAGGTGTCTTGGGTCTCAATGGAGCCAGGACTTCAGGTGGGGTAGAGGCTCAGGACTTTGGGCAAGCTGGGGCTGTTTCTGATCTCACCTAAGCATCAGCCAGACAGGAATGCAGCCCAGCCTGGCCCAGCTGGGACCCAGCTCAGGTTCACCCTCTTGAGTGCCAGCCTTACTGTCCTCCTGTCCCCTTTTCCTGGACTGTGGTAGTGGCATAGCACCAGTTAGGGGTGACACCACCAGCCTGGCAATGTGAAAAGAAACTTAATATAATGTTGGCTGGCTCTGGGGGCCTGGAGGAGACCACGGCCAAGCTACCTGATCACTGACCGCCACTCTAGGGGCCTCTCTTCCAGAGAGCTCAGATCCCACCTAACAACAGCCTAGAAATGGCGGGAGTGGTGGGACACATGCTCAATCTATGCAGGGGTTGGTGGAGGAGGGGACCTTCATGAACAGAGCAGATCAAATGAATGGGAACTGAGCCACTGGGACACCTTGAGTAGGCGGCTTTTTGGAGCATCTGGCTTCATTCAATAAGCTGGTGCCCTTGGGAAGTTTCTTAACCTTGTTAAGCCTCAGTTTCTTGCTTATAAAATGGGGGGAATACCTACTTAATGAGATGTAAAGAAAATGAGAAGCCATTCAGGTACCAAGCTTAAGCTATATTTTTCTACACACAATTTCTTAAAAATATAATTTCCAGTGGCCCTGCCTAACATCAGTCCTCAAAAACAAACAAAAAACCCACAAGAAATTGTTAATAAGAAAAACTCATGGTGAGAGAAGATGGAACAGAGATGGACTGTGTGCAGCCACACTGGAATCCCTCTGCCTGTGGTCCAGCTGCAGGGATGGCTTCATGTCCACTTACTTCTTGGGTACTGTGACACTTGGGTGCTCATGGTGCCAGGTACTGTGCCCTGCTCTACAGACACAGAGGTGACCCTGAACTGGAGGACCACCTGTGAGGAAGATGGCCAAGACCACTACTTTTCTGTCAGTGGGATGAGTTTCCTCAGAGCCTGTTTCCAGTGTTGACTGTTTATTGTACTCATTCCCAACCAAGCTCCACCCCCAACTCAACATCCCATATAAACTCTGTGATAGTAGAGACCTCTTCTGATTTATCTTTGGTTGTGTTCAGAATGTCCAAAATAATGTCAAACATACACAGGGTATCAAAGAAATATTTGCCGAATGACAGTGTATATGAGCTCTAATAATAGTTTGAAGAAGTTGATATGGGAGCCTTGAAGAGATCCTTGCTGACTCTGCCTAAGGAATTAGACATTTCTTTGCAAGAGCCATTTAGGTTGGGCCTTGATGGATATATAGGAGATCAATATGTGAAAAGGGGAGTGAAAGAGCATTCCAGGCATTAAGGTTAGCACATTCTGAAAACATGGGAATTCAGGAACCAGTAATTGGGTGTGACAGGAACATCGAGTGCAGGAGAAGGGGAATGGAAAGAAAACCAGCTGAAGAGATCCTGGAAGGGACTTAAACTGCCAGTCTTTATTAAACTATAAGCCCCTACCTTGATGCAATGTATACTGTGGAGACAGTAGTTTCCAGCCTTGTCATCTCACAAAAGCTCCTCTCTTCAAAGGGTGAAAGTCTTATTAGAAGTGGGTAAGGATAGTATCCACTGGGAAAAGGGACCCTCTCTTAGTTTGTAGAAATGTCTCAAATTGAGAGGGGACAGAGCAACTCCGATTCTGCCAAATGTTGCATGCTGCCCCCTCGTGGTCTTGGGCAGACTTGTGCAGCATGGAAACCACCCCGGTGCTTTGCTCATAATCACAGGGGTCTCCAACCTCTAGCATCAGCCTCCTGGAGCTTTACTGCAACTACCAGCTGTCTCCAGACCAGACCCAAGTTTAATATATCCCCGGCCAGTGATTTCTGGGAGGTTAAAAGGAAAAGGCCCGTACTTACCATCCCACTCCCAATACTGGGGATTGAACCCAGAAGTGTGGAACTACATCCTCTCACCTTTTAAATTTTTGAGACAGGTGCTAAGTTGCTCAGGCTGGCTTTGCATTTATCATTATCTTGCCTCAGCTTCCTAAGCAGCTGGGATTATAGGCATTTTTTTTTTTCCTTCTTGGCAGGGTCTGGTAAGGCATGCGGAGCTGGGGATCGAACCAGTCTCCTGCACCCAACACCCACCTGTGTTTGCCTGAGCAGGTGCTTAAACAACTGAGCTAACCTGCAGGCCCCCAGGCATTTCTAACATAACATACAGGCCACCTCCAGCCAGAGAGCAAAGCTGTGTGTGTACATGGGACCAGGAAACCAGTGTTTTGGCTTTAACTCCAACCCTAGTTCAGTGACCTTGAGCAAATCACTGCATTTCACTAGGCCTCCTATGAGTCTATCCTTAACATGGGATCACGATCCTTCTTCCTGTCTGTCCTGCTTGGGCACAGTGAAGATCATCAGGAAGGATGTCACAAATGCTAGGAAAAATATTTAGTGCTCCGGATGTAAGGGGATCATGCTGGGTATTAGATAGGGGCTCTTGGAGGCTTCACCAAAGGGTTTGTTTACACCAGAATGGGCCCTGCTGGCAGAGCTATTTAAAGTGAACATGCTCAGCAGAGAAACTGCTTGTCAATCACAACTGAAACATCTTCAAAACAAGAATGAAAAATCTGTGCCATTGACTCTGGGAAAATGGAGAGCCATCACCTGGCCTAAAATTCCAACTGTGCTTCAATTTTCAGGAATGTGTGGAAGAGCTGCGAAGTGGGACAGAGGGGACTGGATATGAACTAGCAGTGCTGCCTTCTGAGACCAGGCACCTCTGCTGGCATGCTTTCCCTTTTGTATCCTCTTCACACAAGCCTGGAACAAAGCTGTTCACCAAACGTGCTGACTGTGTCATCTTGCTGAGATGTGTCTGGGCATGGGACAGGTGCACAGGCCCAGAGACTTCCATCTGAGACAGACAGACAGCTAGAAGGAAGGTAAATGAACAGTGAACTTACAAGTATGTGGAAGCTGCCCCAACTCATGTTACAAGGAGCAATTACTGACTTCTCAACAGGACTTTGTCACCTGCTTTACTTGCCCTGATGACACTAGAAGGATACTATGTGCCCACAACTTTACACTAGGAAAACAATGTTTCTCTCATTTCATGCTGTGAATCTCTTACCTGGTTCCATCTGTTTTGGTGACCAGAAATCTTACCATCAAATCATTCTAATAATTATGTAGGTCCTGTGGTTGTCTCACGTTTTGTTTTTTGACATGGGACTTGCTATACTGTCCACACTGATGTCAAACTCATGATGACTCAAGTGATCCTCTTACCTCAGTCTCTCAGAGCTGCATTTACAACCATGTATCACCAGGCTCTGCTTATTTTTATGACCCCGATTGCCTACTCAATTATATTTTCCCTAATTCTAACTTGTCTTACTTTATTACTTCGTGTTGCTTTCATTGCAAGCTGTCTCAATTACCTTGTGGAATGGAGTACTTAAGTGAAACAGAATGACACAGATGTGACATAGATGTCTAAGTACTTCATAAACAAAGTAGGTGTCCAGGACATAGTCCAGAGCCCTGGCCCCAACCCCCACCCAGAAAATAAAGGGCAGAAGAAGTCAGACCTGAATCTAGGCAAGAAATAAATAGGCCTAAGAAATCTGGAAGACCTCTTAGGAAGATGAACAGAGGGCAGTGGTGGTGTCTTTTCCTCATTCCTGAACACTTGTGCATATCCTGCCACTGTGGTTTCCAGCAGTGAGGGAATCCTAAGAGCATCAGGCTCAGGCTTAAAACTGAAACACAAGCTTCTTCCCAATTTCTACCTCATTCCAGAAACAATCCCAAAGGCAAGTTGTTGTCCACAGTTTTATGGCCAAATTCCTATTTCTGGTACCCCATTCACTGTTCCTACCAGACTCCACTCTGGTTGTAAAGATGCATATTGGAGGTTAGAAAGATGGCCCGCCACCAACTTTCTGCTCTCTAATCCCAAAGTGAGCAAGCAGCCCCTGGCTCTAGCAACTTTGAGTTGCTGGCTGACAAAGGGCCTGGGCTACCCACCCTCTGTGGTAGATGCAATACCTTTGGTAGTCCACATGGCCACTGCAGCAACTCAGACCCACCTTATGACAGGGAAGACCAGAGGGATTTGCCTTGGCCCTTCAGAGGGCCAGTAGTTTTCAGAAGAGATCTGGTCCTAGCTCTCCACCAGGCAGCAATGTGTATGGTGGTCTAGTTAGGTCATGCAGTTGCCCACTCTAAGCAGCATGTGTTCTGAGGAAGCCTGTTTGTTAGACCACCCAAGGGCCTCAGTCTGTATGATATATGTGACAGGGAAGTGCCTTAGTTTTGGACACCCCTCTTCACAAGGGTGCTTTTGCTCCAAACTGAGGACAACCAAATCTTTACAAGTCTTTCATAAGCCAAGTGGCCCATGACATCCCTAGACACAAAAACCAACTCTATAGAGTATCTAAAATGAGATTTATTGCATTTCATGCAGTTTGAAGTCCATGCAGCACAGGAGAGACTAGCACACTTTTAATGTGTTTAAAAATAAAACTAGGAGGGGGCAAAACGCACAAAGTTCTAGTCTCCTTGGGTCCCTGGGAGAGAAGGCTGTGGAATGATCCACTCTTCATGGAGAATGAGTCTATCTCTTAAACACAAGGAATGTTTCAGTGGCTTCTGGGTGCAAAAACAGAGCTCAGGTGAGCAAGGGGGTGGGAAAGAGAACTAGTGAGGAAGAAGCTAACACGTTCACCAGTTCAGTATGAGGGCAGAGAGTGGTGGCAAAATCTTGGGGCAGCACCTATTCTAAGAGCCAGAAAATCCCACACCCCCTAAGAAGATCTCCTCCTAAGTGGTAATAAGAATCAAAATGAAAATGAAGTATTTTTTTAACCACACACTTCAAGGAAATGTTATAAATATGTTATTTAATATTCTCATTTCATAGCAATTGGACACGCAGCTCAACATAATGAATTACTGATTCCTTGGAGGAAAAAAAGAAAACAAAAAATATTGCATCTTTCTGTTGGAGAATCTCGGTCCCCAGGCATGGGATGTAGTGCACCAGTGTCCTAGCCTGCAGGAGGCACTGAAGTCGGCAGGGTCCTCTGGGGAGGGAGACTGTACCCATCGCCTGGGGCTGTATGGCAAAAACTGTGTTGGGTGTCCTTGGCCTTGCCAGCTCAGGCCCTCAGTCGCCGGTCACCTGAGGGGCCTGCCCATCGGAGGGCTGGTTGGCTGATTGGATGAACATGGGCTGGGCGAGGTCCTGGCCCGCAGGCATGGTGACTTGCTGGATCTGGTAGAGCTGCTGTGGGAAATGGAAAGGAGAAAGTGAGGTCACCCCTGGGTGAGGGGCATGCAGGTTCCTATGGGCCTCAAGCTGGTTGGGGACCCTAGATACTTCAGGCACGAACCACTGCAAGGTGTAAGAAGGAGGAGGGGATGTGGTGCTCTGCTGGGGCTGGAAGCAGCAGACACAGGAGGTACCAGCCTGGTGTGAGGGGTTATGTGTGTTGGGTAGAGAGGAGGTACAGGGAGCTGCATTTCCTGAGGCTTTCACTTCTCTGGGCTCTGCCTTTCCCATTAGCTCAGAACGTTGAGCTTGCTACATGCTGTTCCTTGTGACAAACACAAGCAATGTGACCAGTGTGCCAGCAGCTTGGAATTCGGCATTTCCCCAAGCCTCGGCACTCTTCACTGACAGGGGCTGTAGTGATTACCCCCTTTTCTGCTTTCCTTGGCTTACTTGGCTCAAGCTGACACTAAACTGTACCTGCATTTCCTACTTGGGCCCTGTGAAGGAAATGATCTGCTATTAAACATTCACTACAGTCAACCCCATATGAGTGAAGAAGTTCCCACAGCCCTTGATAAGATTAGCGCCTCTTGCTTCTTCATTTCTTAGGGGCTCCCAAAAGAAACATAGTTAGGACCCCCACCCATAGGAGCCCTGGTGTGAAAGCTGGACACCTAGTACCAGCAGAAGTCAGAGAGGGGTCCCAAGGCTAGCTCTTCTCCCTTTTGTGCCGCAAAGAACAAAAGTTTGGACATATCATCCTCTAAGTCCCAGTATTCTGAGGGAAAAACAGCAAGAAAAGGAAAGATCCTTTCCTTGTATGCATTTAGAACTACTGAACTCCAGGTACCCAGAGACCATGAAAGGTCACAGATTATCTGCACTTCACTAACACTGTATGTACTATTACAAAGCATGATGGCTTAAGGAAAAAAAAATTCTAGAAGGGGAAACAGGAAACTTGTATTCTAATTTGGCTTTGGCATAAACAGCTGATTGAACATGTACAAGGCACTTCGTACCTCTAGGACTTAGTTATCTCATTTGTAGAATGTCAATTTGGGCTAGATAATGTATAAGATTATTTTAGCTCCCATGTGTCTATAAAATCTAAAGGATGTGTGCCTTGACTTAAAAACTGTGCTTTTTAAAACAAGTTTTATTCATTGTCAGTAGAGGGTAGGACAGTTGCTCTAACCATCCAAGCCCATACCCCACCTGTGACCTTGTTCCTCCCAACTACCTGCTCTGTGCCCCTGCTCAAATTGGGTATTTTACCTGTCCATCCGTGAACTGGCTGAACTGCTGCTGTCCTTGCTGGACTTCTGTCTGTGTGATCTGTGGGATGTAAAATGGCAGAGTAGGCACATCAGCTGCAGGGTCTGCTTTATTGGCTTTCTACCCACAAAGTCCAAATGAGACAATGACTATAAAGTACCCAGAAGAGAGAACAAGTGCTCAATGAGGGTTGGAAATTAATGCCCTTGCCCCTATCTCCTAGTCCTGATGATTACCCGAAGAGTTGGTGGCACACAGCACACAAAGAACCCTGGAGCATGAATGATACAACTGTTAGACCCATACCTCTTAACATACCCCTCCCTCTTCCTCCTGCAACCACCCTTTCACCTCAAGGAGAATACCTCAACTCTGTTTTCACAAGAGCAGGTATAACATTATGGTTTTAGGTAGAAGCCCTAAGAGTTGGTCTTTCAGCCAATGAAGGTAGATTTTAAAATGCTGGGCAAAAGTGGTGAGTGGTCCCTTTCATCTTAAGTGAGATCCAAACCAAACTTATTAAGACCTGAGTGGATTATGAAACACCCTGGCAAGCACTGGCCTTGGCCCTGGCAGTCCTCATGGCAAACCTATGAAGTACTTTTTCTGAGAGAGGCAACTTGCACCCTCTGTGCCCAGGGATGTGAGGAAGAGGGGGAAGGGATGGGAGGAAGAGGGGGAAGGGATGGGGCAGGGGCTGCAACAAGAAAACCATCTATCACATGCACTTAAAATCAAATTTGAGGATTTTAAAATAAATCTACTGGGCTGGTGAGATGGCTCAGTGGTCTAAAGCACCTACTTGGAACAAGCTTAGTAAACCACAGGGACCACGGTTCAATCCCCCAGCACCACATGCCAGCCTGCCCCGCCCCCTGGTGGGCTGAGCTGGCCACACACACACACACACACACACACACAGACACACACATAATAAATAAATAAATGTAAAAAATAAAATAAATCTACTGCCATATAAATTGCAACATATACTGATAACTGCTGGGAATAGCTCGATAAACTATGAAGACAACCAGGACCTGTACATGTGTGTCTAACGAACATCTAACTACCAATGGTCTCTGTACCAGCTCCAGGGATACTCACAGCCAACCTGCAAGGTAAGGCCTGTGATCTCGAGTGTCTTCCTGATAGCTAAAAATAAGCCCTGTAGGCCTACCTACAAGGCTATAAGGAGCAAGAAAGGGCACAGGTGACAAAGGGCTTCATACTACTGTTCCTCATTTTCGGCCCTTGTTCCATGGGCCTGTAAGACACTTGAAGGCAGGAGCTATGTTCTGTCTTTAAACATCCAGTGCAAAAAAATATTCAAGAAATGTTTTCAGAATAAACAAGCCTGAGGCAAACAGAAAAATTCTCCTTATAGATAAAAAGATTACTGTGTGTGTAGCCAGCAGCAATGACATTCACAGCAGCAGAGAAGAAAGTCTCATTTACCTTTAAATCACACATGTGCTATTTGTTTGAGATCCATTCAACATTTATTGAGCACCTTCTAAAGGGCAGGTTGAGTCACGTGTGGTGGCACACATCTGTAATCCCAGTACTTGGGAAGCTGAAGCAGGAGACAAGTTCAAGACTAGCCTGGGTTACAAAGTGAGCTCAAGGCCAGCCTGAACTGCATAGTAAGATCCTGTCTCCAAAAAATAAAAAAATAAAGAAAAAGCAAAAAGTACGCAAGCAGGTTGTCACAATTATGTGTTGTGGCTTATCCCCCTTTTCTCCTCAAATCTTATTTTCTGGGTTTAGTTCTGTTCCTCTAAGTAAACTCTGAGAAACCAAAAACCTATCTAATTTCTTCCTATTCCCATGCCATAAAAAGCTTTTGGGATCTCAGGAAGAATCTTACAAGGTTTGGGGGAAAATTTTTTTTGGAGACAGAGTTTTGCGTTGTAATTCAGGCTGGCCTTAAACTCACTATATGGCCCAGGCAGTCCTTGAACTTGCAGCAATTCTTCTGCTTCAGATGGGATTACAGGCATACATTGTTATGTCTAGCTAAAAACAATTTTCAAAGGGAAAGGGACTCAAGAGTGTGCCTACTTTTAAATGTGATTCAGTGTCACTGAGCCCAAAAGAAAGTATTAAAAAGCCCACATCCATAGATGAGCAGAGAGTGAGGAAGAAAAGGGCCCTTTAATGATTCCAAAGACTATGTGGAATTCAGAACCCTTACTTTTGGCTCATTCCTCACATTTTCCCAAATGAGATCTTTGGAGACCTACTTTACCATCTCAGCTCTTGTCACCATTGTCAATAGATACATCACCAGAAATGCAACTGGGCCAGACAGATCCAGCTCTTAAACGATTGCTGCTTTTTTTGGGTCTGAAGCAAAAGAATCCATTACATGTCTCCCCTTGTTTAGAATCCCCCAAGCTCCTTAAAGGATGTCCATGTTGCTCAACCCTCCAAGGCTGGCGGTAGCCTCTTTGGCTCTGTGACACACAGCCTTCAATAGTGTAGGGCAGAGGAGGAAATAAGGAGGGGAAGGTTCTGGCCAGAAATGTATGCAGAGGTAAATTAAGACTGAAGCTTTCCGGAGGGAACAGAAAGCGCCAGAACACAGCTGCCACTCAGATTTAAAGATGGAAATACAGTCTGAGGACTAAGCGTCCTCCAGCCTCACATGCATGTGTACCCACCAGGCTTCCTTTGGTGCTTAACAATAAAATCTACGAGACATACTTTATTTCAAATCCAGTCTTCCAATTACCCCCATTTTGGGCAGTGGAACACACTGGGGTGTACTCCTTGCTAAAGGATGAGGTGGCAACAGTTGTGTCTTGAAGTCCTCCTTTCCCACCAGAAGCCAGCCAGCTGCTGCTCATCTCCGGTACGTACCTGCTGGGCGTTGGCGGCAAGTGTCTGGATCTGTCCCTGCACAACCTGGGTGCCTGATACAGGCTGGGCTAAGCGTATATACTGCAGCTGGCCAGCATTCAACTGCACCTGTGTCGGGGCAGACACAAAGAGAGCACAGGAGGCTGAGTTCCACCTCACACAGGCAGCTTCCCATGGCCAGACACACCGAATGCCCTCTACCTCTCAAGCTCCCAAAGAAAAATCTTTGTAAACAGAGGCCAAAATAAGCAACATAATAACGCCCTCACGCATAAGTCACACAATACAAGTGTATGCTCCCCAAATGGACCTGGGAAAGAAACTCTCAGAATATCTTCTCATAACATGTGGGGCTCTTCTTCCTCCATCTCCACACTTTCCAAGATTGTGCAGGATCCCAGTTCTGCCAAGAACCCAAAGCAGATAGCTACCATGCTGCATCACAGCCCTTGTACTGCTCAACTCTATGCCATGCACCTTGGAGAAAGTTTGGTCTGTTTTTATCTTTGGCCCCACGAGCCAGGACCAATGAGGGCTGTGGAGCCTTGAGGATCCTTGGTGTGCAGCACTAGCGTTTGACCAAGCACGTCCCATGGGAAAGCAGAATCAATAAACCTTTCACAGAAAAACCTCATCATGGGAAACCAAAGCTACAAAAGTGCCCTTAAACTACCTCATGCTTATGAATGTCTCAGATAATACAATAATACCACTGACTGCATTTAATTGTGTGCTAAAAGCCTTAACTTGGGCTCTTAATGCTCCAGTGTGCCACGAAAGTATTAGTGCTTGAGCTGAGGCTAAATGGAGCACAGAGGCAATTACAGTGTGAGGAATTACAGCTTACCAGACAGTGGCACTAGAGGATGGATGGCAGACAGTCACACCTGTGACTCAGGGCTGAAAGGTTCTGGGGGCCCAGAAAACAGCTTCTTACTGCCCAGCCTTCCTATGTAAGCTTCTCTTCAGGCTTATAGGCTAGGAGAAGCTTCTTCAGGCTAAGAGGCAAGTTATGCCTGCTCAACCTACAGCAAACCATATCCTGGCCATGAAGCACTATCTTCATCACACAAGGAGGAGGACATCGAAGGGATGAAGCTGCATGCCTGGATACAGTGGTAAGGCAAACACTTCCCTGAAACTTCCGGCCATAAAAGGTCCAAATCACTGAGAAAAACTATGAAATTCTTGGCAGAACATTCCAGAAGTGTTTGCGGGAGGCAACACACAGGAATATAAAATCTAAACCCATTAAGAATCTGGTTCCAAGGAAATAGGACAAGAATACTACAACCCATAGTTGTAGTCATTTCTTTACTGAGACTATGCCAAGAGGAACTGCTGGAAAGTTGCAGCAACAAGCCTAAATTTCCAACCAAATCCTACAGTGCAGTTTGTGGGCTATAACATTAAGTTCCTATTGGGAACTAAGGCAGTTAGGTATATAGGCTTGTGAAATCTCATCTGTTGAGACAGACAATGGCTGGTTCCAGGAATCACCAGACCTCCAGCCCAGGGTCCCAGGATGAAAGACTAAAGTCTTGTCCCAGGAGTGAGGGAATTTAAAACTTTCTAGCCTGGAAGAACTCTTTGCAGAAACCCCAGGCATGGTGGTGCACGCCTGTAATTCCAGCACTTGAGAGACTGAGGCGGGAGGATTGTTGCAAATTCAAGACCTGCCTGGGCAACAAAGTGAGCTCAAGGCCAGCTTGAACAGCATAGTGAGACCTTGTCTCAAAAAGATTAAAAACAAAAAACAAAAAAACAGAAATCCCAATGTGATGGAAAAGCCACAAGCCAAATGGTTCTATGCATTTCAGAGACAGAAGTGAGCTTTTCTTTTTAGGTTTAAGTCAAGTCATTTGGTGACCATCTATCCCTTAATTCTCCAAGACAGCAGATTTGATGCTCCTCATAGCCTAAACTTAGTTACAGAACAAATAAGCCTACCCACTGGCTTCAAAAGGGAAATAAAGTCTCTGTCCTGAAGGTTATCCCTATTATAAGCACTCTGCTGAGTAGCTGAAGGTCAAAAAATGCAGGCTCCTGAGCAGATACTGAGAGTAGTGAGCATGAGGTTGTAGATTCTGTAACAAATCTTCTGGATTAAATTTTGTGCCTCAAAGTTAAGTTACTCAAGGCAGGGACTCTTCTTTGGCTTTGACGACCTTGCTTTGGTATCTTCATGTGAAAAAGCAACAATCATTCAAGTCAGAGGTCTTGGGGTTGGTGGGTGAAACAATCAGGCAAAGGACAGCCAAGTCACTTGGAACTGGTGCCAAGTGTACAACAAAAAGAGACATATAGACACCACTTTCCTTAGCTTTTCTTGACCCATTACTCTAAAACTAAAGAGCAAGAAAAGAACCTAAAACAGAGCTGAAGATAATTTTTGAGCTTTTTTCAAAGAAAATGGGCAGACAAATACAAGTGAATTTCTATGAGTGTACATTTCAAAGGACAGCCCCATGCCACTCATTTTCCAGCTTTTTGTGAGAAAATGACCAAAAATGTTAAGTTGCAAGTGTCAAGATGATGATTTTTTCTAATAAAACTCAAGTTTAAGTAAAAAACTAACAAATCTAAGAAATGAAATCTCTCAAGCCACACAGGAAGTAGCAGCAGAGTGAAGGAATGAATAAGTGAAATGAAAGCCAAAAATATTCTTTGTAGAATGCTACACTGAGAACCGACTCATAACATGCAACTAGTGTATTTATGCCCTTCTCTTGTACACCTTCCTTTTATTCTCTGCTAATCAGAAGACAGGGCTGCCTCGTGGGGCCTTGCAACTAGAGAGCGGCTTCAATGACTGCTCTGCATAGGTGGAGTGAAGGCAAGTTGAGAGAAGCTGCCCAAATGTCTCTACTGCAGTGGGGAAGCTGAATCAGAATTAAAAGCAAAGTGAATAAAGCAACAAGGTGGAGAGGGCATAGTGGGAATAGAGGTTAAAAACAAAAGAAACACATGTGCACACATACACACATGCATACACATGGAAATGAATGGTAGGTATAACATGATACATAAAATCTTGAGGAATTTCCTATTATGAGCTGAGAAGGTAGATAGCTATGCAACCCGGGGGAAGACTTACTGGGATCTGCTGGATCTCTCCCGTGTTAGTGATGATCTGCTGCATCACCTGCATGGTCTGTCCAGTGCCACTCTGGGCCTGCTGGGCTTGACCCTGTGGCTGGGCCTGGACAATCTGCACCTGCTGACCTTCTCCAACCTGCATCGTCACGGGTGTGGTCTGAAAGGAAGAGTCAAGAGAAAACTGTTTAAGCTCTACCTGAAACTGTATGACTACCAAGAGGTTAAAGCTGGGAAGTTATTATCTTCTTCTTTAATTCCTAAAAATCTCAACACTAGTGAGAATGCTTCACCCAGAGTCTTCTTGGTAACAAGAGCATTTTTACAGTTACTCTCTGAAATGACCTCGGAAAGCCAATGACCTCGGAAAGCCTATGACCCAATTTTTGGGCTCATAGTGCAGAATACTTGCTTGAGCCCTAAACATAAAATTTATACTTCAATATTCCAACTTTTCACAGCTCCTCTGATGACAGTAAGGCCTATATGGCACAGAAAATTTAAAAGTAACCATGATGCCTCATAAAAAGTAATCATAACAGTGTACGTAGAAAATGGTTAAGCCTGGAGGGGCTGGGGAGATGGCTCAGTGGTCTAAAGCACCTACTTGGAACAAGCTTGGCAAACACAGGGACCGCGGTTCAATCCCCCAGCACCACATGCCAGCCAACCCCGCCCCCTGGTGGGCTGAGCTGGCCACACACACACACAATAAATAAATTAAAAAAAAATTAAAAAAAAAAAAAAAGAAAAAGAAAATGGTCAAGCCTGGAGCATGTGAATTCTGATGAATTTAAAGGGAGGGGGAAAAAAGGAAAAGGAGATCTTTTATGAATTTACTAAGGTCAGGAACCTGGACTCCTTCTTAGCCATACAAGACACTGCAAGGAAGATAAGACATATGGGCTCACCTGTAAGGCTGGGCCTAATACACACTGGCTTTTTATACCCATCCAAGGAGCAGACCAACATTTTTGTTTTTTTTTAAGAACTGGGGATTGAACTCAGGCCCTTGCGTGCAAGCACTTATTCTACTGAGCTATACCCCTCCTCCTTTTTTTTGCAGACCAACATTTGCCCATACTAGCCAAACAGCTGCTTGGGGTCATACCCTGGCATCCCCACAGGAGAAGTAAACATTGTTAAGACCTGACTCTTAACAGAGCCTACCTCTTTTTTTTTTTTTTTTGGTGGAACCAGGGATTGAACTCAGGCCCCTGCGCTTAGCACGCAAGCGCTTATTTCATTGAGCCATCTCCCCTACCCCCAGAGCCTAACTTTGATTAATAGAATAAAGCAAAAGCTTTAATTTTCTTAAATCTGGTAATCTCAGATTTAAGAAGTATCAGTCTAATATATATGACTTGGCAGACAGTGTTTTCATATACTGAATGGCATGCACTCCTATGATGCTTATTCTCTTGTGAGATAACCTGAACTGTCAAGTGCCAATCACGCCTTCGTCTCTCAAAATGTTACCCCTTGGTGCACCCTTTACAGATTACTCAGACAACAGCTTATCTGCTGGCAGTGGACAGAGGTGAATCAAACTATACTAATACTTCCACTCCCAAGGCTTTTCACACCCACTTTGATTTGGAAATGGTCTCTCCCCAGTGTGAACCAAGAATCATATCAGTAAGACAACTCTGAGTCTCGATGAACCACAGACTTCAGCTGAGGCTGCTAATTTCAATGTTCTTAATTTTTTTTTTTTAAGATTTATTTATTTGGCACAGGGTCTTCCTTGCAGCTCAGACGCAGTGTAATCTTTTTTTTTTTTTTTTTTTTTTGTACTGGGGATTGAACTCAGGACCTTGCACTTGCCAGGCAGGCACTTAAGCCACTGAACTATATCCCTGGCCTTCAGACTCGTAGTGATCCTTCTATCTCAACCTGCCCAATGCTGAAATTACAGGCGTGCACCACCATGCCTGGTTTCAGTGGCCAGCATGGTGTGCCGGGAGTTTCGGAGCCGGCATGTACCGTGCTTGTCAAGTAGGCACTTAACCCACTGAGCTAGCTCCTTGGCCCCAATGTTCTTAATTTTGACTGCACAAGTCTACTAGATATTAAGCATGTAAAGTTACAAGCAAAGGAGATGCATTCTGGGAAGTACAGATGAGATTTAAGGGATTATCAGGTAGAGAAGTTACAGTAAACTGGAGGGGGATAGGAAAAAAAAAAAGATGACAGAGTACTCAGTAAAAGTATCTGTGATGTTAGGACAACAAACATCTCCTTCATTTTCAAACCAAAATCTACAACTCAGCCTCCCCAAAATTCCAGAAGTTCACAACTTATAAAAAGTACAGGTTTTACTCTAGCAAATTATGCATTTCTCCCAACTTTGCTTTACTATATATTCAGTCCTGCAAAGGGACATTTGTACTCAATGTGAACTAGCCATTCCTGCAGGTCCAGGGAGGTGTGTGACCCTGCACAAGGCCACCCTGAAGCAGCAGGACATTAAAACAACAGCTGGGAGGGACAAATTTCACCATCTTCACAAGCCTTATCAGTTCCAGGCCAAGCAGGTCTGGCTTGGCAGAGAAGACAGATGAAATTCTTGCTGACTCAAAAGCAAGTACGCTGCCAACTCATCACTGTACTGTATCAACCCAATTTTCCCAAGAGGATTCCTAAGATATTTCTATATCATTTCAGGAAAATGAGGGCTTCTGTGAGCATGGCAGCTGCCAAATTATGCCTGGTATGCCCTGCTGTCAGGGTACAATGGCCATAAGCTCCTTGGGATCATCAGCCAATCAGGGTCAGCCCTTGGCAGACTGCTTTGATGTTCACGCTATAAAGGGATAAAGTCTTTGGCAGGTACACAGCAGGCATGAAGTCCACTGCAGAGGCACAAGCATGAGCCAGAGAAGATTCCTCAGGCAGCATGGTGCAGTGAGTGCCTTGAGGCAGGGACTGGCTGCAAACATCTTTGAACCTCTCCTGCCTAGCACAATATCTAACACAGAGCAAGCACTCATTAAATTGCGTATATACATAAATGAGTGGGGAATAAATCACAAATTCATAATTAATATTTAAATACATCTGTTTTCTTCCAGGCAAACCTAGTTCCTTACCAGAGTACATAAGACTTTCCTCATGTGCTCCCTGGACTTGCCTACATGGCTCCCTGCATTATTTTTGCTTGTGCTGGGCCCTCTCCTAGCAACACCAATCTGTTCTTCTTTAGATGTGTTCCCATAGTATTTGGCACACAATTCTAAGCATATTTTATGCTTTCTGCATGGTAGTAATAGCTTAACATTTGTGGCTCCAGCTAGATTATGAATTCCTTGAAATCAGGACCGTTCAGTCATGTTTATAGCCTCAATACCTATCAAAAGACTTTACTTACAGAAGATGCTTACTGTATGATAAATACATTAACCACTGACAGATTTTGGATTCAGAGACCACAGTAGCAGGTCTTCTATAGTCTTTCACACTCCCAGTAGACAGTATGGTTCTCAACAATACTATGGGGGGTAAAAAGAATCCTCGATTAACTATTACTAAAAGAGGTTACCTGACACAAATTTGGCAGAGCAGAGAAATGCCAGAGATAAGAGAGGAGAGCATACAAGTTGGCAGTGATGCCTGATCTCCCTACTTAGGGAATAAATTTTATTTCTGCACCGACATGCAATAGGTATAAAGTCCACAGAAAAGGCATTTTATAGAGAGCCTACAACTCTTCATGGACCCATCAGAGAGATTATTTTTCCTTCCAAAATTTGTGAGCTCACTTGGATCTTGAAAATCACCTTGTCCATGGCATGGTCCTCATCTGACCATGGATAAAAATGGAGCCCAGAGACTGCCAGTGCCTCTGAGGCTGCATCTGGAGAAGAGCTCAGGGCTACAGACTTTAAATCCAGTCCTCTCTAATGATGTGGCTGCCACCTGGCCCCAGCGGAGCTCTGCCTACCTAGGCTTAAGAGGAACTGTCTTGCAGGGCAGATGCCCAAAGCAGCTCACACACCTGGCCCTGCTGAGGCTGTGCGATGATGATCTGCCCAGGCTGGATGGTGGTTGTGGAGCTGGTGGTCTGCTGGCCTTGCTGCTGCCCCTGGACCTGGACTGCAGTGGGCTGCTGAGCTAGTGTGAAGTAATACTGGACGGGCTCGGCAGGAGTCACAGACTGGCGCACCTCCTCCTGTGGGGTGGAAGGAGAGGCAGGTAAGATGAAAGAACCGACTCAGCAACTGCCACAGTGAATTTCCACTCTCCCCACACAGGCTATGTGCAGTTGCCTGCTCTGCTGAATGCTGAGCTCTCCACATTTGAAGCCAAAAGAAAGTGGAATTCGAAGAGACCAGTTGTGCTAAATCAAACTAAAAATAACAGATTCTATAGGCTTCACAAAATATACAGCCAATTTTCTGAAGTACTGAGTAATCATCCACTGCGTGATGAGCTGCAAATGGGCAAATAATTACCATAACTAAATACCCCCGCGCCAGCAGCACTTGTCAGTAACTGCTGTCATGGCCTGTGACTGAGAACACTGCTAATTGCTAGCACTGGAAAGTCGCTATCCAAACATCATGCTCTTCAGGCTGGGCCCCATCTCCCAAATAGACAGCATTCTTTTTACTTTGTTCCCACCCACTCACCCACTCTGGGAGACAGTGGAGCAAAGGGAACCACAGGATATTTCCTGAGCTAGAATTTCAGGCTCAGATGTCAGGTTCAAGAGCACTGGTAGGCAAGTTGCTCAGCTTTTCACAAGTCATAGATTGCATGTCTATCCAGTGTCACGTCTGGTTCTGATTGTACTTATAAACAGAAGGGCAACCCAGGGGGCCTGATGGACAGCTCTCCACTGGGGTGCTGCCTTAGCTGACTAAAGTCACATTTTGTCCGATTTGTCCAGTGAAGAGACTGTTCCTTCTTCAGCTGACGTTTTCCATGGCAGAAGGAGTAAACAACCCTCTCCCAGCCACCTTGAACTCACAGCTGAGAGTGTAGGATGTTTACACACACTACAACATGGTTATGGCTTATAGGTTCTGTACTTGGTCGGCTCTGGACCACTCACAGAGACTGGCATCTGATCCGGAGTGACCTGTGGGACTCAATGCTCCTGCCTGGGACAACAAAACATGCAACCTTTGGGACAAAAATAACAAAATGTATAACTATGTGGGCTGGCTGAGTAAAAATATTAGCTAAATTTATTCATTTCCTTGTTCTGAGTTAAGTTTTCCAGGTTTCAGAAAACAAGGGCTCTTTGAGAATCAGTGAACCTGTGGGCTGTCTAAAGGCTCCCCAGAGAGGAGCTTCTACAAAGTTAGAATTGACTTCATTCCCTCAGCAAGGTGGGTACCAGAAATGTGCTTCCATAATGACCTGTTCTTGTAACTGCATGTCAAATTTAGCCTGTTCTGCTAAAGTCTATGAGGGCAAATAATACCTTTCTCTATCTCCCCATTATCCCCACCATTCCCATGCAGGCACTAAGTAAATACTAGGTGAATGATGAGTAGATATACATACATAAAACACACAGAGGCAGAAAGTGCTTTTCTGAATTCAAGTTGGTGGTATGACACATTCCCTTGCCCCCTCCCCCCGCGACCTCCAGGGGGACAGAAGAGTCCCTTTTGCTATAAAGACTGTGTGGCCATAACATGTAGAAACATGGTGTCCCTTGTAGCACAGGGCTGACTATTCTTTTCCTTGCCTGTAAGTGGGGTACTAGAAGTATGACTGCAGATACCGTCTCTGAAACACTTGGGTCTCGGCATACCAAGGTTCCTTGCGGCTCATGAATCCAGACGACGGGGATATTCATCACCTGGGTATCTAAGCAAGTCCTTAAACATAAACTAAACAGTTTCTTATATTCTATGCCTCAGACTCAGTTTTAAATCTCAATATGAACATGCTGTAGTAGAAGAAATGGGAGATTCCTTTTATTTTCATTAGGTCTCAATTTCTAGAACAACTTAATGACAATGCCAGATCCATTTCAACCCTACCTTTTCATCATTATAAAAAAAGGTCATGCTGGCAACAAAGTCTTGGCTATCACAGGGATAAAACACTGACACTCCTTTAAGCCATGAAACGGAGGCCAACTGCTCTTTTCAAAACTGCTGAAATATTATTCTTTTGGGTTCAGTAGCAAAATATTTCCATCAGCACACTCCACAAATGGACTTCTCTTCCACCCTATGGGTCATGATTTCACCTGAGTCTACAGGGTGGATTTCAAAGAAATAGCTATAGCTCAGTCCCACAAGTGACACCTGGCCACCAGTAATTGTCATGGTCATTATGCATGTCCACAACACACTAGAACTTCGTGCGATATCCTATCCTCAAACTGTTAGAAGTGCTAGTCATTTACTTGCCATTCCAGTATTTATCTTATATTTTACTCTTAGTACTTCTTTGCTATCATGAAAACTTTTTCTTAGTTCAATTGTTTTGAAACATTTAATTTTTAATTAATTAGTATTTAATTTTCTGAATATTGCTTAATCTTAGTTTTTGTTCTAAGATTTATACTATATCTTTGACTTACATTTTATTTAAAAGACATTGTATGATATCTTCTAGTAATAGAAACTTTAAAAAGTATATTTCCATTTTCTGTTGACTTTATATTACTTCTTCCCTGTCTTTTGTACACACATACACACACATATGGGGAAAAAAAATACATGTATAACCCAACATAAGATTGGTACTGTTTCATAGAAATCTGCAGTGACCTTCAAATAAGGGTTCATCTAATATATCTTTTATATAGTCCTGCATAACTATCATATCGAGAGCTCTTTATTGTTCATCCAGGAGCATACTGCAACTTCTCTTGCCTTTTGAATTATGCTCTTTGTTATTTCCTATATGCTACTTCTGGAGGTATTCAAATATTTCAAGTTTGTATAATTAGAAAATCTTACTTTTAGTTTTCAAAGGTATGTTTGCTAAGTATAAAATTCAAAGAGAACAGATCTTTTCTTTCAGTCCTTTAATTAATCTAGTTTCTTACACCCTTGGTCCTTTTTTTCTTTCTAACGTGGAATACGCTATTTAATTTTGTTTTTCCACAGCTAATATTTTTATGTATATGCTTTAATGATTTTTTTCTTTACAAGAAGTTTTGGACAATTTCATTTTTGTGCATCTTGGTATGATTTTAAATGTCTTTGCAAAAGGTTCATTTTTTCTTGGAAATGTGGTATTATAAGTTGAACTAAATTCAGAAATTTTAAATCTTTTTTAAAAAATGCTTGAAACTATTGTTTGAAGCAAGGTACAATTCCCCTATGATGAATGCTATCACTATGTATATATATAATGTACCAATAAAAAAATTCAAGGAAAAAAAAAAACCTGCTGAAATAGGTTCAATGTACTTTCCACTAAAGCCCCCCCCCATTGTATCTAATTAAAAACATAAATTATAAATCCAGAGCTAACTTGGAAGTTCTTGGGTGATGAAAAGATACTGTATAGTGGATCAAAAGCCTCAGCAGCTCACAGGAAGTCAGGTGACATTGAAAAGACTGGCATTTACCAGCCTTAACCTGTGATTGTCTATCTATAGCTATCCCTGGCAACAACTAATCTAGCATTGAACGTGGTCTACCAGACAAAAAGCAAACCCTTTACTTCTTCTAGAAGCCAATATCCTTTGCCAAACATTGTGACAGCAGGTAGAGAGCTTCTCCTATTTTTCCCATTGCATCCTCTTAGATGCTTAATGAACTAGGTAGAGTCCAGGACACAGCAGGTTTCAAGGAAAGGGGCCTAGGTTTGTGTGTTGTGAGAAAAAGGCATGATTGTTCTCAAAGCACTGGGACAAAGGAGGAAAATCTAAGGTTCTGCATTATGAAGACTTATTATTCTACCAATGGAGGTCAAGTCAGCAAGGGAATGATTAAGCTTGATAAAAGAAATGTGTGAAAAGGTAGTGACATTTCAATGGGCAGGAACTTTCAACTCATAGCTGGGGCAGAGATCAGACCTTGATTACTTTCTATTTTCTGTCTTTACTGCTTCCCTGAAAATTAGTGAGATTTCCAAGCAACTCTGAGAAGTCAGAGGCCTTAGATCCTCAATTCAATATTCTGGCTAGTTCCTACAGTTCAACAGGATTACATGACCCCAAGTCCTAGAACAACCCTCGAATGTCTAGATCAATCCTGAATAGGGAACTTGCTCAACTTTAGGAGTGGCCTCTCCAACCAGAAGGCTTGGTCTTGCAATCTTTGCAGAAGCTGAGCCTGAAAAATGCCAGAGAATGATCAGCATCACATCTCAGGACCTTCAGTACAGTGTTGTGCAGCCAACCCCAGGATGGAAAAAAAGTACATTCACTTTAATAGCAAGAGCAAACTGCTGGCTCCTTCAGAAAGGGTGAGTTTTGGAGAGTAGGCGCTTTTAAAGGACTTCAGGAGGTGCCAGCCAATTTGGAGCTTGGGGAAACTTCGTGTCTACGGAGGATTAAAAATGCTATCTTAGAATTTCAGGCCAGCTTTCAGCAATCTTAACCTTTTAAATGCCAAGCAGCAGCTGTCCCAAATAGGATGCCAATCAATAGCTTGAACACCTACAAAGAACTAAATCCAGGCAGTGAGGAGCTGTTTCAGCTAGCAACTTTAAAAGGAGATGGATCAGAGCATTTTGAGTCTGATACCCCAAGAGAGCCAGAAGCATTGAAAACTATGGAGGAAAAGATAGGACAAGACCCCTTTCTCCAGCTAATCTATCCAGCAGACAGCTCACAGAAAACAAGGAGTTCACACAATGAAAGTGAGCAGGGCCTAATTTCATCATCAAGCTTTCCACCTTGTTTTTAAAGGGAGATTCTGAAGGACACATGGAGGAAAAATTCCAGCAAGGAAAGCAGGTATATTACTGCCCTGAAGGAAGAGAAGTGTACCGAGTTTTTGCTGTCACTTCTCAGAGAGGAGAGAAGTACCCCAAGAGGAGGAAATCAAGCCCATGGGCACAAACCTGCAATGTCTCAAAGCCGAAGCGCAGCTGGGGTCGACCGTGGCAGCCTGCCGCTGTAAACATCCGACTGAAAGCTCCTCTGAACACTTTACAGCTTCCAGTCAAGGATGTTTACAGTAGCAAAGACTGCCCAGGAAAAGAGCCGCAGTGAAGCACACCCTGCTCCAGTATGAAGGCGACACAGGATTTGCTAATCCAAGGCCATCATGCAAGGTGAGAAGGCCAATTAGGCCCACTTGTCCTATACTTTCTCTGACTGGTTATTAATTAATATAGGCCAGCATGGGGAGAACAGGGAGAATGTTTATCACTAGATGATTCTTATTTCTGAGGAAATACACTATGAGATAATGTTAAATTTTATTAACAAAATAAAGCAAGCAGGACAAGGAACAGCTTTGCTCCTGCAAGACTCTGCCACTACTTCCAAAGTGTTTCCACTACACCTAGTAAGTCATGCAAACTGTGCGTAAAACAGTGAACTACAGGACAAGGATCTGTTATATTGTCATTAAGAGATAAATGCACCAAGTGCTAAAAAAAAAAACCTGGTGTTACCCCTGGAAAAGGACAGGCAGAACAAAGGGGCAGGCAGAGTGATTGTCAAGAAAACAGTTTAAGTTGTGGTTCTCAATGTTGGCAGGACACTAGTGCATCTAGGAGTTTAAAAAAATTCTGATACAGGGGCCCCAGCAGCACAGATTCTGATTCAGCTGATGGGGATAGAGCTTGGGATTTATTAAATCCCAATAGGTCTTATGTGCAGCCAGAGCAGTATACACAGTATGATACAGACTAATAAGAGAAAAAAAGTTCACTCACTCCAAATACCACTGTGAACACAGAGAAGCTGTTTCTTAAAATCTGAAATCTATAACTCATGAAGAATGTTTTCTCATTCCAGATGAAGAACTCTGCTAACACTTTCTAAAAAACTCTGAAATGTATTTCATTATACTGTTCATAACTGAAGTCTTTTTCATTTTGTCTGTTTCCACTGAAATACCACCTCAGAGGCACTGAGTTAAAAGTATCCATAGATGAATGAGAGAAGACAATGCTAGGGATGACTGTGGACTAGAGAAGAGGAACAACAGGAGTAGCAAATGCTTTGTGTGCAGAGAGGGAGGAGCATATCATCAGCCTTGGCAGTGTACCAAGGCTCTGCAGCCAGCAGTGTGACCACGCCTCCCCTGCTCACCTGACGCTTTGGAGGTTTCAGTTCATCTCTTGGAACAATATCGATGAGAAAGTCAAACTGATCAAATTTTGTTATTGCCATAGCGATATCATTCCTCTGTAACAAAGAAAAACAAAGTGAAAAATTTGCCTTGGGAGAAACTAGTTTTCCTGGCTTTTATACCCTCCAAGGAAGAAATGGAAATGACTTTTAAGCTGAAGTAAATAACCCACAGCCACATCCACAGCTGAAAACAGCAGAGCCAAACCCATGAACTTCAAATGAACAAATCTGGTGGTGGAAAAAAATAAATAGAAAAAGATACAGGTAGATCATGCTCTAAAATGGGACACTGGAGCTTCCAATCACTGCTTTTCTTTCCTCTGAGGCTCATAGTCTTCCACACAACTGGCGAAGTATTATCCTCCACCTATATTAAGACAAACCCAGCAACTGGCAGGTTTAGTCATTCTGTGGTTAGCAAGGGCAGCCTATTATGCAATCTTATAACTTTTTTTACATTGTTAAGTAATATTTTGTTTCTGCCTCACAAGTTGTTATAGACTAGTCATTTTATATATATATTAGGTCCTATAAGATTGTGATTTTTATTTTGGAATTAAAAATTGCAGTGATAAATCTGTGCTTTAAATCTGGTTTTAGCTGAGCATGGTGGTGCACACCTATAATTCCAGCATTTGGGAGGCTGAAGCAAAAGGTGAATTCAAGGTCAGCTGAGGATACATAGTAGGTTCAAGGCTAGTCTGGACTATATAGCAAGACCCTATGTCCAAAATTCAAAACCAAGAAACAAAAAGGTTTAGTGTCATATAAATTTTTTTTTTTAATTTTTGTCCAGGGCTATGATCAAACCCAGGGTGTCATGCATGCTAGCCAAGTACTCTCCCATGGAGCTATCCCCCAGCTGGCTTTTACATGCTTTGCAGTAGAGAATACTGTCCAGGCTGTTTCCAGGTTTATAATCTATCATTTATCCATGTTTATAGGGTGAATTTAGGTAATCTGAGTTTTTACCTATTAAATGTAATCTCCTAAAACATCACTGTATTCATGTACATTGTCCTGAATACTTTTTCCAGTTCTGGGGATTGCACAGTAGCAAGTTCTCCAGCACTGAGCTACATCCTAGTCTCTTAGACTGCTTCCTAAAATTCTAAAACATAAGATCCAAGAGAATTAAAACTCTCTGTTTTTAAAACACATTATCAAATTTTCTTTAGAAAGCTCCATATTATTTACAATGCACCTGGGCACACCTATTTTGCTTTTTTAAAGTAGTTTCATATGGATCATCATTATTCTTTTTTGATAGTGCTTACTATTACAAAATGGTTTATATTAGTTTTGTTTTAATTACTACTAGTAAAATGACCATATTTCCATATATTCATATATATGAATTGTGTTTGTTATCTTTGCTCCTTTAGTAAGGTCATAATGGTAGCCAATTATATTTGAATAAGTTATTAGATAATGACCATCATATTAAATTTATTTTAGTAATTTACTATTGCTTTATTGATAAGAACCAGTTTCAGTAGGGAAAAAGGTCAGAAGAACAAATTATAAAGTTTTTTGAAGAGCTAAGGATTTTTTAAAAATTTTATATATTTGGTACAGGGTCTTACTACACAGCTAGGACTCATAGTGAACTTCCTGTTTCATCCTTCCCAGAGCTGGGATTACATGTGAGTGTCACCATGCCTGGTGTTGGTGGCTGGCTCAGCATGTGGCACCAGGGATCTATCCTGGGATTTTTGCACTTGCCTAGGCAGGCACTTAGACCACTGAGCTATGCACATGGCTTGATCCAAGGATTTTTAATGATCTTTGAAGACCCAATAGTGGACATTCCCTTTTCATTTATCTATCTAGGGCTGGGGAGATAGCTCAGTAGAATAAGCGTGGCAAGTGCAAAGTCCTGAGTTCAATCCCTGGTATCTCAAAAAAAAAAAAAAAAAAATCTACTACTTATCCTGGGGTTGAACCCAAGCCCTCATGTATGCTAAACATGCATTCTTAATACTGAGCTGTGCCCCTAAACATCGTTTTTCATCTTTAA